AAGAAGAATGCTATGTTCAGTACCAGGCTGCATGTTTTGTTTTCTGCAGAAATCTTTGCAAAGAATCCTCAGCAAATCAGGTCAGGTGGAAGAATCCTTGCAAGAGCAGTTACCTGACCACAGGTTGCAAGACTTGGCTGGTTTACGGTGCATTTATGAATTTGAAAGAGAAATACACTTATTAAATGAATTTTGAATGCTGAATATTCAAGGAATGGTTATTTGGCAAAACCTGGATTTGTTTATTGTAGGATCACTGTAAGGCCCAAGAGATATACTTGTTGCTTGGACTTTGTCTACGCTTGTTATCTATTGTAGTGGAGTGTCTGTGAAAGTCTATTTTCCTTTTGCAAATATTGTTTGTGCCGGAGCCAGGATTGGGCGAGATTGCTGATAGCAGGAAGTTAAAACTGCAAACAAGGAGGATTTGGTTTTCCATTCATTCCTGACCTGTTTTTAACAATCTGTTCATTTTGTAAACAGGTATTCCCCACACAATCCTATCCTCCTCAGATCATTTGGCAGCACCTAGTTCTATTTTTTTAGGAAAAAAAATGCAAATGTTTTGGTTTTGTATTTCCTAACATGAATGATCAGGACTGATCTCTGGTTTTCAAACAAGCCATCTGTAATTCAGTACAGGTAGCCTTTGACTTGCAATTGAGCCCAATATTTCTGTTGTTAAGTGAGACATTTGTTAAGTGAGTTTTGCCCCATTTTACGAGCTTTCTTACAACCGTTGTTCAGAGAATCATGGCAGATGTTAAATTAGTAGCATAGTTGTTAAGTGAATCTGGCTTCCCCATTGACTTTGCTTATCAGAAGGTCTCAAAAAGGTGATCACATGACCCCAAGAAAGTGCAGCATCATAAATAGAAACCAGTTGTCAAGCATCTAAATTTTGATCACATGACCACGGCGATGCTGCAATGGTCATAAGTGTGAAAAATGGTCATAAGTCACTTTTTTCAGTGCCGTTGTAACTAGAAAGGTCACTAAATGCTGTAAGCCGAGGACTACTTGTATTCTTTTTCCAAAACTGAATGGACCTGAATATTCTGTACCAATGTGCCTTGCCTGGTTGTCCAGATGAACAAACACCTGTCCATCTTTCCCCAACCAGGTGCCCTCCAGTTACACTGTGATTACAATTCCCAGAATTCTCATTTGGAAATTCAGAATCCTGACATATCTGGGGCCTATAAGATTGAGAAAGACTGGTCTATTTCAACAGAAGCACTGAAATACAGGTAGTCCTCAACTTACAACAGTTCATTTAGTGACTGTTCAAAGTTACAACGGCCTTGAAAAAGTGACTTATGACCATTTTTCACACTTATGACTGTTGCAGCATCCTCAGAGTCATGTGATCAAAATTCAGATGCTTGGCAATTGACTCACATTTATGATGAGAGGTCTCACTTAGCAAGAGAAATTTTGGGCTCAGTTATGGTCGTAAGTCGAGGACCACCTGTAGTCGAGAAGCTGAAAACCAGTGCATTGCAGAGTTGTGCAAGATTGCATAGAAAAGGAGGAGGATGTAGTTAATATTTACCAGAGAACTGGTTGAATGAAAGGCTGGTAATTAGGGAAGTATGATTTATTTTTAAAAATACAGTAGTCCTATATCAGCCTTAATTCATATTTAGCATAGAGGAAAGGGCACCACCATCCTGGAGGCAGGAAACCAATTACTTTTTTACAGGACTTTGAAAGGAAATAGATTAGTTGGGATTTAAGAAAAAAACAGCCAAATCAAATACCCTTCCAATGAACTGGACTTCACCTTCCATCCATCCAGATTTGGAAGGTCCCAGGCTGAGAAAGGCTGTTCCTCAGACCTCCCCTGTCTCTTTTGGGACAGACTTGTTCTTTTCTTCCTTCCCCCAAGGAAAGGGATTATGTTACAAGGCTCTGGTAACAATTCCAACCTGTTTGTCCTGGAATGTGGCATTTAGGGCCTTGACACAGGAAATTCAGTCTCTGTTGAAAGCTAGAATTGCAAACAGTTTTATGCTTTGCCTGGGTTGGGGGCGGTGGGGGAAAATGCAGGTGGAAAAATGTGGTTTGGGCTGAAAGAGCTCTGTCCAGGCTTCGTGGGTCATGAGGAGGGCAAGAGGCATGGACTTTAGGGATAAAAATCTTTGAACATCTGTTTTATCCCAGGGAACTTCATCATACAGAAGTAATGAGAGTTAGGCTTTTCGTTCTAATAATGATGATCTGAACTCGAACCAGCTCTTTGCTTCTGCTACCCCAATTCCTCCTAAGTCTGGACAAATCATTTACCCTCAAGTATTGGTTGATTTCTTCTTAAAATATATTTATGCTCTCCTGTCCTAAAATGCTGAATGGGGTCCAGGAATATTGAAATTCCAGACTGACTTCAATCTTGATATGGCCTTTAGCAAGTGATATTAATTCATCTTCACTTTCCTCATCTGTACATTGAAATGAGAACAGCAGGAACTGCAGAAGAGCAATGACTCCACTGGAATTGGGTTTCTGTGTGAAGCAAAAAAAAAAAAAAAATCACACTCTTGGGTCAATGTTACTTTAGTGTAATGTATGAACTCAACCATTTGGTTTGAAATCCATGGCTTATGACTTTGTAGGCAGGAGCAAAGTCTTTTCAATAATTTTTCCTGTCAATGATTAGATGAAACCAAAGGGGATATACCTGAAATGTGGTGGTGGGGAATCTCTTTTGTGAGTTCTTCTGATTGAGTTTTTTTTAAAATGTCTTTTGTTTTACTAAAATAGCTATATTAGGCTAACTAGAGGGCTGGGGCAGTCTACTTTGGGTTACAAATCACACTAATACATTTCCTATGGCCATTTGCAGACTCCAGTGGGGGATTCTGTAACTGACTGCATGTTCACACTATTTACATGCTGAAGTGTAAATTACCCAAGCAGACAGGTATCATACAACAAAGTGGGCTAAAAGCTAGTTGGCAAGTTTGTGGTTCAGAGAATGAGCACACACATGTGACACACATATTGCCTTAAGTTCTTGAAGACAGAATGGCAGAGAGGAAGCTTCCTATATAATTGTGGGGTATTACATGTAGTTCTCGACTTATGAGAATAAAGCCCAATGTTTTTGTTGCTAAGTTGTTAAATGAATATTGACCCATTTTACGATCTTTCTTGCTGCAGTTGTTAAGTGAATCACTGCAATTGTTAAGTTAGTAACACGGTTTTTAAGTGAGTCTGGCTTCCCCATTGACTTTGCTTGTCAGAAGATCGCAAAAGGTGATCATATGACCCCGGGACACTGCAATCGTCATAAATATGAGTCAGTTGCCAAGTATCTGAATTTTGATCATGTGTCCATGGGGATGCTGCAATGGTTGTGTGAAAAACAGACATAAATCACTTTTGTTCAGTGCCCCTGTAACTTTGAATGGTCACTAAATGAACTGTTGTAAGTCAAGGACTACTTGTAATTAGTTATACAACAGCCAATTGGATGCATTTGGAAAGCTTACAAGTTTAGACTCCACCATTGCTTCATAACAACCAATGAACCTGCCCACTATTCGGGAGTAATTAACAGTGTTAATAGCCATTTATCTTAATCTTCCATGATCTTGTCCAATTCCCTCTTAAAATAGGACAAATTGGCTGCTGTTACTACAGCTGCTGGCAGCGGATTCTATAGTTTAACTAGGTGATGTATAAAAAGTACATTTTTTTCCCCTGCTGATCCTGAGCTCGCCTTCATTTAGTTTCAGTGCTGGCACTGAATTTTAACTTTATAAGAAAAATTTCTCTCCACCCATGTTATCTATGCCATACTTTATTTGATATCACTGTGTTAAAAGCATTCTCCCAGCCTCCCTATATTCCAAATTGAAGAGTCCCACCTACTGCCATTTGTTCTTGAAGTGGAACTAACGCAGCCCTCTAATCATTTTGGTTGCCCCATTTTGTAACTTTTTCTTTAATTCTGTAAAAGCCTTCTTAATGATTAAAGTCACATAATGCTCAAAAATATGGCGTGTCCGTAGATTTGTATAGGAGCATTATTATTATCAATAGTTCTATTTTCAATTCACTTCCTAATTATTTCAAGCATCAAATTGGCTTTTTGGCAGTAGCTGAGCCTTGGGTTGACGTTTTCATGGAAGAATCCACTGTGACTTCAGGACACCTTCCGGTTCAGATGCCATTAATGTTTAGTCAAAAATCAGAACAAGTCTGATAACATTTATAGGTAAAGGTTGGACTTTTATGCCAACATCCATTATTCCATACATCCAGATAGATTTTAGAAGAGCATCCCATTTGTCAGAGAGTCCTATTAATATAGGCAGTCCTCGACTTACAACCACAAGTTTATGTTGCTAAGGGAGACATTTGCTAAGTGAGTTTTACCACCTTTCTTGCCTCAGTTGTTAAGTGAATCACTGCAGTTATGAGTTAGTAACCTGGCTGTTAAGTGAATCTGGCTTCCCCATTGACTTTGTCAGAAGGTTGCAAAATGGAATCTCATAACTTTGGAACACAGCAACGGTCATAAATATGAACCAGTTGCCAAGCATCTGAATTTTGATCATGTGATCCTGGGGATGCTGCAAAGGTCGTAACTGTGAAAAACAGTCAGGTCACTTTTTTCAGTGCCATTGTAACTTTGAATGGTCACTAAATGAACTGTTGTAAGTCAAGGACCACCTGTACTCATCTTTTCCTACATGTCCATGCCCTCTAGCCAAGCAGAAACAAATGCAATTCCATGCTGTGTGCTAAAAGAAAGAGAAGAGACAGAAGCATGTCTGTAACACAATTTCTTCCAAGTTTAATTATTCTCTTTGATTGTGCTGTTGCGTTACCCTCAAGTTTTGGACTAGGAGTTTTGGTTTTTATCTGTTTTTCTAATTAGGATTTTTTTTTTAAAGCTATTTTGTCACTACTTATGCTGTCTTTCTGACATGCCCACACATACCACAGAAAATCTAAATCTGTCTCTCATGTATTCTTGTTTCCCTCTACAGCAGTGGAGACCCAGAGTACAAGTTCTGAGGAGATGGTGCCCAGCTCCCCTTCTCCACCCCCACCCCCACGGGTCTACAAACCGTGTTTTGTCTGCAATGATAAGTCCTCTGGCTACCATTATGGGGTCAGCTCCTGCGAGGGCTGCAAGGTAAGTGAAGGGAAGGTCCTGGACTGCCATCTGCTTTCCAGTTTCTGAGATTGAGGGTTGCATTTCCCAAGCGCCCACCCCCATAGCCTCCACAGTACACATCCTGAATTCAGGCAGGCATCATGACTCCTGCCTCTGTTCAGCTAGGAGGGTGTGGTTGGCTACTTCACCCAGACCTCCTTCCTCTGCCAAAGAATGTTACAGGAGGGAATTCCAAGTTACCGCATGCCAACACCCAAAGCAGATTATGCAAGCAAGACAAAATGTGCAAAACAAGCAAATGTATACAGATTTGCATCCTTCACTCCACTGGTGGAATCTGAAGTTGTTTGCTGCAGAAAGTCCACCTACGTTTTTAGTACAAAAATCCACAAGGCCTTTGACTAATATTAGAGCACTGAACTGTTGAAGGCCACCCAGATTTCCTGACCAGCCAAGGGTTTTTGAGGTCAGTAGCTGGATTGTAAGGGTGCACTTAACATATCTGCATAATTCCAGGCAGGAAACTGGATGTTCTCCTAGATGTGTTGGATTTCAGTTTTCAGCTATCTGGAGTATTGGCCCTATTTTTGCTTTTTTTTTTTTTGCGGGGGGGGGGTGTACCTTCAGATTAGTGTTGACTCCTTGCAATTGGACTAATCCCTGCAGTTTTCTTGGTGAGATTTCAGTGGTTTTCCCTTGCCTCATTCTCAGAGCTCAGAGAGAATGGACTGGCCCAAGGTCATTCAGCTGACTTTGTGCCTAAGGTAGAACTAGAATTCACCATCTCCTTGTTTCTAATCTGATGCTTTAACCACTACACCATATTGGCACTTTAGTACTGGCACTGGAACAGGTTAATTATATTTATCTTTTTGTTGTTGTTGTTGGATCTGGTTTCATTGATCAATGCCCAAGCATAGTCTCTACGATCCTAATAATTAGCATCTGTAATATTCTCTAGTATTTTCAGTAATATTTGGTAGTGCTTCTCTAAAACAGGCTGTGTAGTATGATCATCCCAATACTGCAGATAGATCCAAGAGAATGTAGCTTACCTAAACTCACCCAATTATGTGTCATAGTTAAAGAAATACTTGGATTCTGAACTTCCTGGATGATTGCTTTTTAGCTTCTACATCAGTGCTCTGCAATACAGTGCTGTTCAAAAACTTTGGTCTATAATTGCATATGAACTCCAGTATTTATTCGTGCTGATTGGGACCACTGGAGTTGTCTTATGAGCTATATTAAGGTGACCAACCGTCCTCCTTTAGGGAGGACAGTCCTCCTTTTGTAAGTTCTGTCTTCCCTCAAAAAGTGTCCTCCTTCGTGACCTCCTTTTCGATATTTGAAGACTAATCTGCAGGGCTTTTTTTTCCCTCATAGAATGCTCAGAACAACGTTCCGGCACCTTTTTTTGATGGGTTTTTTTTTCAACCTTTGCATGAGCTGTGCTACTCCCACTATTGGCGTTCTAAAGCCAATAGGAATTGCTGCTGAGCGCGCCAAAACACCCAGCTGGCAAACTTTGCACATGCAAGTTGTCTGTATTATTGTTGCAATGAATAAAATGTTTCTTTTATTTACGATATTTTTTCTTCAATTTATTTGTGTCCTCCTTTTCATTGTAAAAAAGTTGGTCACCTTAGGTATATGGAAGGACCTGAATTGAGAAAATTGCTCTCTTATAAATGGACCCTGTAGCACATGCTCTTTCAGAGGTTTCTCCTGCCTGAGCATGTTGTGGAGGTGATACATGTGGGAGAAGACAGTACTAAGCAAGAATGGCTAATAATCTGGCCTACCATGAGGCAGCTGGATGCATTGTTACAGATCATAATGCATCACAAGAGTTAATCAAATAGTGGATCATAAAGCTTTGTTGGTAAGAAACAAGGTGTTCCTTTCAAGTGATACTGAATTACAAACATTCCACAGTTCTAACAAGCCAGACCAAATACAAAGCATTGTGGGCATTGTAGTTCAAAATATCCAGAGGATGCCTTTATCTTGCACTAAACAAACTTCTATGAACAGAAGACCCCAACTGAAACAGTGACTGGTTGCTCCTGTTAAGCTAAGCCTGAATGTGGTTTGACTTGGGGAGAGTGTTCTGCATGAATGCAGTCATTATGGTTGATAAACCACGTTTACATTTTATTGGATTGTAAAAACCCAGTCAATTACTATGTTCAGTTCATTCAGCTGAATTTGATTAAAGCAAGCCATGATTTAGGACTGTGTGAACTGGCAATCAGGAGAGAGTCTTGCCATGCCAGCCTTCCACCTCAAGCCTCCTGCTCACTTGTAACTCTGCTCTCTATAACTTTTAGGGCTTCTTTCGCCGAAGTATTCAGAAAAACATGGTCTACACCTGCCACCGAGACAAGAACTGTCAGATTAACAAGGTTACTCGCAACCGCTGCCAGTATTGTCGCCTACAGAAGTGCTTTGAGGTTGGCATGTCCAAAGAAGGTGAGTCTTCCATCAGAGTTTGAATAGTAGATCCCCTTGTAACTTCCATATCTGTAGAACAGGGGTCTTCAAACTTGGCCCTTTTATGACTTACGGACTTCAACTCCCAGAATTCCTCAACCAGCGTGCCTGGCTGAGGAATTCTGGGAGTTGAAGTCCATGAGTCATAAAAGGGCTGAGTTTGAAGACCCCTGCTGTAGAACATCAAATCCCAGTATTTGCACAACCAGAAAGAACAAGTCAGTTTGGGGAAGGCTGGTTTATGACTTCTTGGGTTGGTACAAAGCTAATGCCAAAGGGGTTACCCCTCATAAATATTGCTGGGGTGCACATAATGTAGGTGTAAGCAGGAAGAATTCTGAGAATGAGACACAGGGCTAACTGCAAGCAACAGCCCTGGAAATATAAAACTACTGTATGCTTCTAGTTGTGAAAGAAATGGCTTTTGAGAAGAGAATCTAAAAAGGAAGCAGCATGAACATATCTGTGCTTTGAATCAAATAGTCACAAAAGAGACCAAGATAGGAAGTTAAACGTATGTCAAGCGCTCTGCTGTTGTTCCTCAGACCAGTGGTTTCTCCAGTCCAACATTCATTTTCCTACCATGACTATCCAGATGATGGTTAGAAACTTGCAAATTGAAAGACCATAAATGATAGCAAAGGAGACTGGGATGGATCAATAAAGAAAAGAGAAAGCAGGGCAGAGTTTCTCAACCTTGGTGACTTTAAGTCACCAAGGTTGAAAAACAACTGGCTTAGAGCAATCACTGTGCATTACTTGACCTGGCCACACATCTGCTTTGGAAACCTAAAGTACAGGTAGTCCTCAACCTATGACCAGAGTTGAGCCCAAAATTTCTGTTACTAAGCGAGAGAATTGTTAAGTGAGTTTTGCCCCATTATATGACCTTTTTGCCATAGTTGTTAAGTGAATCATTGCAGTTGTTCAATTAGTAACAGGCTTGTTAAGTTAATCTAGCTTCCCCATTGACTTTGCTTGTCAGAAATTTGCAAAAGGTGATCACATGACCCCCCAGGACATTCAACCGTCATAAATATGAGTCAGTTGCCAAGCGGCTGAATTTTGATCACGTGATCTGGGAATGCTGCAATAGTCGTTAAGTGTGAAAAAGGTCATAAGTCAGTTTTATCAGTGCTGTTGAAATTTCAAAAGTCACTAAATATTCTGTTGAAGATTATCTGTATAGGGGCTATACTTACTTAATTGCTTTATATGGCCCTGTTGTACACATTTCATAAATGTTCATTTAAATATTTATTGATGCTGCCTAAGCAGATTTTTTAATGTTCCTTCAGAACATGGACTTAAGCTATTTAACACAATATGAAAGACACATGCATGTCCAACAGCAAACCATATCTATGTGCACACATATAGAGATGTAATTAGAAGTGCGCATTTATTCCATATATTCCAAGGCCTAAAATCACATTATTTTAAAGAACATTTTGTGCCTCTGATTCTCCTGCAGTTTGTCCTGCTAGCCAGCACTGCTTTTATGCACAATGCATAGGGGTACCCAATTTTTATGCTTATTAGCAAAGCCATGTTGGTGCGATTCGGTCATAGATGCACCTAGGAGAATTCACACAAATCTTTCCCAGGGATCTTTGGTTCCTCCTGGGCAGCCATCTGCTTTTTGTATCTGGTTTCTCCATAACATTTTTCTTCTATGGCATTGCTTTTAAATGGATTTTCCCGTGAACAAAAATTCTGGAAAATGAAAAGACACATGTGGATTTTCAGAAACAATAGTTGATGATGGCAATTTTCCCTTCTGGATGGAGTGGGAGGAGCCAGGAAAGCAGCAACCTATATTGATATTCCATAATGAATGGGGAGCAGGGACCAGGTGTGGGGGAAATAATCCCCCAAAATCTTGGAGGAGCTACACACAAACCAGCATCCCTTGGAGGCCGAATCTGAGTGCTCTGCTGCCCCTTTAAGAGGGCTGTCAAAACGCCCAGCCCTTTCAGAGACAGAGTGCCTCTCAGCGGCTGTTGCTTTTACTCCCAACTGCTTAGGCACGTCTTTGCCCTGGCCTTAGCCAGGACCCACATTAATCACCGCCTCTTTAAGAGCCCCTAATTAGGAACGTCTAGATCTCAAAACCTGGCGATTTATTTCAGAGGGCCTGTCACTTTAAAGGGAGAGGAGGGGGGGGGAAGAGAGAGAGGATGGGGCCAGGGGAGCGTGGTGTCAAGGGTGGGGGAAACTACGAAGAAGAATGTTATCCCGATGGGTTGTCACTGCAGAGACAGGAAACGGATGGCTGAAGGGATCTGAGCCAGCCCAGGCTTTTCCCCTTTCCCTCTATATTCCATGTAGGGCTCAGATGAGGCTTGGGACCATGGGCAGGGACATGGATCCCAGCTAGATGCACTCTCCGAAACCGTGTGGCCACCACACACTTCACTGTGAAAAACAAAAAAGAGGGGGGGGAAGTTTTTTGGGGGAGAGATTAGGGGAGAGCTCCCCTAAGGCAGTGGAGTGATGTTATCTGCATGCAAAGCTCCCCTCCAGAGAGCAGTATGCCTGGGCTGGCAGCCTCCTCTTCCCCCCCCCTCCACTCCTCTCCCCTCAGCATTGTGCTGACTGCGGCTATAAGTGTATATCCTGCCGATTGGCGTATCCTGTTCCCAGATCCCTGGCGCTTTATCCAGGGGTGAACAGGAAGGGCAGCCTGAGAAGGCTCAGGCCGAGGAGAGTGCACACGCAACCCAGGGCTCTCAGTGAAGAAGGAGCGCTGGCAGGATTCAGAAGAAGGGGAAGGAGGGTACCCTGGCTGAGGAGAGACAGAGAGAGAGGGCAAAACATCCCTATGCGCGCCAGTGGAGAAGAAGCCCTCTTGGGGCCATCTCCAGATATCTTCTCCGGAGGACGCCAGATCCAGGCTTCTTCCTTTGAGATTCAGCAGCTATCAGGGAGACCAACATAGAAACTGTCCCCATTTTGGCACCCTGAAATTGGTAGAGCAGTAGATAGCCTTGGGTAGACGCCAGACAAATGGCTGCTTATTGCCTTCCCGGACAAGGAAAGTGTCTGTATGACCACAGTGACTATAGATGCTCTTTTGAAGCAGCCCGTGTCATTGCAGAAAGTGGATTAAAATCCCTGCCATTCCCATAACTGTGCACAGAAACAAACCAAAAGAGTGGCTAATAACATATTATTCCTATCTGTTTTTACTCAGATGCAAGTCCTGTTTCGTTCATGAGGTTTATTCCTACGGCATTGTGCACAGTGGAGGCATATGACTGTCCTATACAATGCTTTTTAATAATTTTGATTTGTATTTTAAAAAATAGCATGAAGAGTAGGTTAGTTATGTATCTTTGCTTCTTGTTCTATCAGTGACATTGATGTTGCAACATAAACCTTCCCTCATTATCTCTAAAAAGCCATATCTGATTAAAATATAATAAGGTAGGTGAAATATTTCCAAGTAGTTAATAACAACCCCGAACAGCTTTGGAGAAAATGCCTGTGTAGAGCCTAAGCTCAAAGCATTGTAATGCTCTTGTGCCATTTAAGGTGCTTGCTATGTTTTCTGGCAAATTAGTAATTACTATCAGTTTCCTAATTACAGGTTCCACTTAATTCATGTTTGTTGTTCTCTTTCCTCTCCAGCAGTGTGGGAGAGGTAAGTTTAAAATTATCATCAGAAACTGTTTATTTTAGGTATCCTCTGCTATTTTTGCATGATGGAACCTGAGGCAGTTCCTAAGCAAATACATATCAGTTCTGTTCACATGGCATGCTTAACCAGCGCTCTTATATATTTAAACGCTATATTCCTAAAACATTCTCAGCATGGTTAATTTTAACCTGGTTAGATTTTGTGTTGTGTGAACCCAGCTCTTTAAGTTAATGTTGTTGTAGTGTACAAACCCCCCAAAACTGGTTGATCAAATTAAGCAAATTGCAAATTGTATTAACCCAGCCATCCAGATGGTGGTATATAATCGGCTTCAACGATAGTTGAAGTAACTATGCATAATCAACAAAAGCAATGTTTTCCAAACTATGAGAACACTTCCACTTGATTCTACATTGGTCAAATTCCACCTTGAGCATTGTGGTTGGATTAAAACAAAAGTCTGACTCGGTGTGTGGAGAGGTCAAAACAAGCTCAGATGAAATACTTTAAGTTGGAGTTGCTATTTGCCAAGAATAGATGGGATCCACAATTTGGGATCCTCCTAGACTTATGATTCCTGTTAGACACAATATCTGGGTAGGCTTTGCCCAGTGTTGGCTGGTGATTCGATTGCTGACAGTTTGGCTTTATTTGTATGATTTATATCCTTTATTTATATTTATTTATTTATTTATTTGTTTATTTGTTTATTTGTTTATATTGTATGGAAGTTCAAAACAGTGTACATAGTGCACTTTTCTCCTGTTTTTTTCTCCAACCTATTTGGGTCATAGGATGTCAGTTCTTCAAGGCTAACCAGATTAGGAAACCAAAATTATGAATGCTTAATATTACCTTTTACAGTAAAAGGTTAACAGAATCTTGCAAGACTAAACGTACTGATCTCCACCCTCCCTTTATCTTTGTGAGAACTAGAGAGGATCTTCTCTGAGACACTTTTTGAAATTATTTTTCTGTCCAGGAATCAGATTTTTTTTTTAATCTGATTGTTGTTTTGGTTGTGGTTCTTCTGCCTGTTCCTCAAAGTTATTTTTTCTGGACTACCTCTGAAGACAAATCATAAGTTTTAATTGGCTCTTCTGCTAGGCATTGATAGAAGATACAGTCAGGTAAGACTGGTGCTGTAGTTGCAGTACAAGTTACTGATTTGTTTCTGAGCCTAGTTCAAAGTGCTGGTTATTATCTTTAATGCCCCACCTGGCTTGGCTTACATGTACCTGCAGGATCATCTCAGCTATTAGATTTGACATGTCCCACGCATTCTTCTAGAGAAGGCTTGTTGAGGTCTCCAACCCATTTGAGTTTGACAACGCTACTCAGTATTTGCCATCACACAGTGGAACCTCTTGCCACAAAGTACAGAATGTCCTGAAACTCCTAGTTGTAGGACACTACTTAAGGTTGGATTTGTTTTGTTTGAATCTGCAGACATGGAATATGCTCTGTCTAGGGTGAGGAGAAATCAAGAACCTCGCAGGTTGTTTTTAATGAACTTTGTGCATTAAATATGAATTTTATCCTGCCATTGGAGAAGCTCTAGACTTGGTTATTGCTCCGCACTGGAGAAAGTAACAGCTCTGTTTGTTGGGTAAAGTGAGGTACAGCAACCCTACCCACCCTCCTTTCCCAACATCTCCAACATCCCTGTGGCTCTCTGTCCAGCCCTTTGGTTCTTCTGACTGAGCACCATTCTCGGAACAATTCTGGGATATCAGTAGTCTTTTTGGAATTGCAGAATTTACTGCATGGCTTAGAGGTAGGGAGGTGTGGAATCTGAAATCTCAAAGTGATTATGCTGAAAAAGAGAAAGAAAGGAGCATGGCATGGGGTAATTGACAAAGGGCTGGATTTTTTTTTTCTCTACTCCAAGGGAATGGGGGAATGGGGAAGCTACTTTTGTTAAAATTCTCCCTGAGGAGCACTGTTTAGAGTAGCCCCGAGGGTCAAGCAACACTAGAAGGATGGCAAAGTGACTAGGAGTCTGACATGAAGGACTGCTGCTTTTGGGCAGAGCTGTTTGCATGCAGACAATCCCAGTTTGAATTCCTGAGCTCTCCAGTTTCAAAAAAAGGCTCAGAGAGGTCATGGGAAAGATTATCTGGTCAAAATCCTGGAGAACTGCTGCTTGGTGGACAAATAGTCTGAGGTGGTATAGAGTACAATAATTCTTTTGGGAGGAGAATAGAGCATACCTCAGTCTGTTTACTCTCATACCATCCTACCCAGGCATGAACATCTGCTGGTAACTGTTTTTTTTTTTTTTTTATGGCATTCCCTCATCAAGTTGTTTTTGTCTCATTCCCAGCCCGTTCCAGTTTTAAAGTAGTGTTTTCCATCTTCTCCTGACACAGTTTTTGAGATGGATGTGCTCTGGCATGCTTCATCAATGAAAGAGTTGCTGATGGAGAGGGATGGGCCCAGCTTCTATTCACTCTTGTAGGCTGTTGTGTTTGTTGGCAGTGCAAAGGATGGCAATCCTCCCACAGCCTCCCTTTTCATGCTCTTCCTCATCCAGTGGATGGAAAGTGACCTGCATGGCCATTTTGGCCAGGGCTGCAAAAGAGATAAGAAATTTGACATTGGGAGAGGCATTTGCCCACAAAGTGCTTGATTGGCACATGTCAAAGTGCCTATCAGGTCTTAAATGGGCTCTTTACGAACAGGAGCTTAATCCTCTTTTGAAAGATACTTAAACCTGCATTTTTTTAAAAAAAAAACACAACAACAACCAAGGTCAATGCTTTGCACTAATTCTGTTTCTGGCCAGAAGGTTTATTTAAACTAGAAAGAAGAAACCAGATTCTGCAATTTGATGTTGCTGATTCCATCACAACCAGGCACATTATAGGGTCTCCACTGCTTGTTCAAAGAAGGGACTTTTGATTTTGGTTGTTGGACTTTTTATCATTTTTATTATTGGGGATGAGGAGATGGGCATCGCTTTATTCCCTGCATTCTGGCTCCAAACGCATCCCCAGGTTATATCCAGGTTTTCTTTGCCAGAAAAGCAGAACTAGACTCATTGCCAACACCGCCATTTCCTTGCAGCGTATGTTGAGGATGGAGTTAACTTGTCAGTCATTCCCTCCTGCTTCATCCCATAATCTTCTCTGGGTCAGTTTCTCAGCACTGTCTAGGAATTTGTTTTTCCAGAAGTAGCCAGGCAGACCCCCCCCCCTCCTGTACCTGTTGGGTGATTTAACAGGTGACTAAGCATAACATTCCAGACCATTCACCCACACTTGCCCACTCTGTCCCACATTAGGAAAAGTGATTAATGGTTGTTTTCCTGCTGCTCTAAGTCAGAAGGGAAAGTTGTCCCATTAATAACGTAAGGGCGGCAACAGTTGCCACCCTTGTAACCATAGCAGATTCAGGCTGAGCAATCAGAGGAACCAACTTGATGCTGTTATTCTTTTCTGTCATCAGAAAGACAAGCAGAGTACATTTAAATGCAGCTGTCTGCCTGTTCCTTTAGAGGTTAGCAACTATTTAAACTATCAGCTGTCTTCATTGTCTCTAACCCTTTGTTGCCATTTAGTGGTTGCCTGGATTTTTACAGCCCAGATATGATAATCCTAAACAAAGCAATACAGCAGTTGAGGCTTAAGAGAGGAGGTCAATCTGGAGGAGGGGGAAAAAAATGTTGGCAAACCCTCTGAAGATATTTTATAGGAGGAACAGGCCACTTTGTGCCCTCCAGATGTTTTGGATTATGGCTCCCACAAGTCTTGCCAATGGCTCTGCTGGCTGGATCTGATGGGAATTACAGTTCAAAAGCTGCCACGGAGTGCTCTGGGTTGCCTTTCTCCTGCTTTTTACATTCATTTCCTTCAAAGAGGTGAAAGATCTGGATTGTACGCAATACTTTTTCTCCTGGGGGAAAAAAGATCTTGGAACAATGGTCCCCAACCTTTCTGTCTCCACGGACCCATAGCAGCAATGTTGGCAGCAGCAGCAGCGTTGGCAGGGAGAGGAGGGAATGTTTTGCATGCAGAACATGGTTCTCGTGCATGCACAAATGAAGCTTCGCGTGCTTGCCCACTGCTTGCACGGTCAGGTTCCCAATGGGCCACAGACTGGTACCAGTCCACGGCCCAGGGATTGGGGACCCCTGTTTTGGAAGCTATCCAGCATTTCCATTTCTATTATATTGCCTAAGTCAAAGGTAACATTTCAGCCATTATCCCACCATGGTCTTTTCTGGAGATATAAATTCAGAATCAGAATAGAGCTGGAAGGGACCTTGGAGGTCTTCTAGTCCAGCCTTCTGCTCAAGCCTAAGTCCACCCTAACCCTATATCATTTCAGACAAGTGGCTGTCCAGTCTCTTCTTAAAAACCTCGAGTGATGAAGCCCCCACAGCATCTGAAGGCAAGCTGTTCCACTGGTTAATCATCCTCACTGTTGGGAAGTTTCTCGATATGGTCAATTAAAAATATCCTTTTCCATCACTTTTGCTCTCTCCCCTCTTTCAGCTGTGAGGAATGACCGCAATAAGAAGAAAAAGGATGTGAAAGAGGAAGTGGTGGTAGATAGCTATGAAATGACACCTGAACTGGAAGAGCTCATCCAGAAGGTCAGCAAAGCTCATCAGGAAACCTTCCCATCTCTTTGCCAGTTGGGCAAATACACCACGGTAATGACTGCAACCTACTCTGTTGAGAATGTAATCTAAAGTGCAGGACACATTAGAAAACCCTGGGTACGTCTAGCCTTGGCTGAACCCACAGCGTCATATTGGAGTTGTGGCACTTAATGTTTTGCTTCACAGCATATTATGCTGGTGAGCTAAACCACAAAATTAAAACCTCCTGGGTTGTCTGCTTCCCCCCCCCCATCCTCTGCTAAGCCACAAGGAGCAATTTGGAAGCTTTACTTCTATCTTACACCACCACTATATGCATTGTCATCAGAAATCTGAACAAGCCTGTTAATTTTAACTCTAGTTAATTTAAAACTTGATAAAGGCAGCCATGGAGATAGGACAATGATCAGAGTAGCAAGACAAAAGGAAAAAAGGAAAACCACATCCAAAGATCAAGTACTATTACTTATTTGTCCAAGATTAATCAATAATCTGTACATGCATACCCATCCCATCAAGCTGTTTCCTTTCAGGATAAGCAATGTTACGCAGAGCATACAAAAAGAGTAAGAAATAGCAAGTCAAATAAAAGCACGCCCGTACAATTCATACCTAGTCTTTTGTTTTGTAAATTCTCAACTTTCTCTTTTGGAGAATCCTATCAGTTCTATCCAACCAACTTTCTTGCTTTCTTTTCCTCTTAAACTGTTTTGCTCCCTTCATAATCTTGTTTTTACAATTCCATCCATACTGTTCTTTTATTGTTGTTGTTGTTACATGCCACTCAAAAAACTTCTTTCATATTGGTCCCTCACTTTTGTATTTAAATTACATTCATTCAATATTCACTTATCCTTGACCACATTGTTTCTTATTTTAACACACACAGTGTTTAGGATCCTCACTTCCTTTTTATTTTCTCCTGATATGGCCTAGTCTCATTTCTATATAACAAAGTAGGCAAAACATAGCCGTATATAATAAAACCTCAGTTGAACAGGCCATTTAGAGGGAAAAGGTGACTGTTAAATCTGAATGTCTGTAATTATACAATTACACAATTAATGTAAATGGATGAAAATGACATAAATATCATTTATTCAGACAAATCACAGGAATAATGTATTTATACATTATTTTGAGAATGAAATTCAAATGCAAAATTGATCCTTTGGCTCTTAAGTTCATTAAATAAAGACCCATTAAATTACTGTACATAGTCATTTTCATTGCCACAGAACATTTATTTCTCACATCAATCGCATGTTATCACCTTTCCTCTGTATTTGCACCTTACAATTTCTACATCATTTTTTTCTCTTTATAAAAACTTCATTAAGGTACATGAATTCATCTGCTTGTACTAGTTTTTTGCCATTATGTAATTTGCAATCATTCATTTCATTTTATCCAATTACACATAAATACCTTCATCTTTGACAGATTAATTTTCAGATCTATACTTCTCATAACATCATACAAACTGTCCAAAGTTCACGACAAATTATTATGGTTCTCACCAAAATATGGTATCATCTACATTAAAAAAAATACACAGTGATATTTCCACTTAGCTCTTATTTAAGTCCATCACAATCCCTTATACATTTATCCATTAAACAACAAAGGAAACATCACAGCGCCCTGTTTTAAACCCTGCTCAGTGCTGAATCAATTGTAAAAATTCCACTTATTTTTATGAATTCTTTATTTCCTTCATAGCTTTTTAAGTAATCGACCTTCCACTCCATGCAAAACCATCTATAATTCAAGCTTCTTCCCTTCCACATATAAAACGTTTACTTCAAACAATCTTGGTTAAGAGAATATAGGACACAACAGAACATAGTAGTCCAATTCTCTCAGGCTATTAATAGTAGATATTAAAATTAAGTGAAAATATACTGATCCAGCGATGGGGCAGCTGTGACCCTCTAGATGGCTAACTCTCGGTCAGTTCAGCCAGCAGTGAAAAGCAGCACTGGAGTTGTAGTCCAACACCTGGAGGATCATGGTGTCCCCATCCCATATGTGGGAATTCCTAAATCTTCTCATGAGTTAGGCTCAGATGCACAGCTTGTCATTTGTTTTGTCAATTTGCTTAGTTAGCAGCAAAGGCAATACTGTCATTTTTCTAAGAGTTATTATTTTTAAGAAGAAAGGAAAATGAAAGGGGAGAAAAGAGTGGGGAAGACAACAGAGAAAAGTGCCCATAGGGTTAAGAAAAAAAATAATAGTTTATCTTTGCTCCCAAATTTCTTTTTGGAAGCTAAAACCAGCTTCTGCAGTGTTCACTATCTCAACAGCATTTTCCAACATAGGGCTCACCCTGTTGGCTTCATCTTGGGACTGGAACTCCCATAAATTCTTATCCATAATGGATATCCTGGGAATTGCATTCCCAAGCTACTTGTAGCTGCTGAGCTGGAGGAGACCACTCAAAGGGGCAGAACAGGAATGCTGACTTCAGGAGTAACATTGTCCTGTGTGTGTCCCCAGAGAGGAATGTGAGGTGTGGAAAAAGAGAAAGCAATTGTAATGCCTGACTGCTTTTTTCTACCAGAACTCCAGTGCTGATCACCGAGTACAGCTGGACCTGGGACTATGGGACAAATTCAGCGAACTGGCCACCAAATGCATCATCAAGATAGTAGAGTTTGCCAAACGCCTACCTGGCTTTACCACCCTCAGCATTGCTGACCAAATTACTTTGCTGAAGGCAGCGTGCTTGGACATCCTGGTGAGGGATAGAGCTGCAGAACCTGGTGGAGGGGTGTGTGTGAGCTGGGGGGGGGATGGCCTTCATGGACTCGGGGTGGGTACATATTTGGCCTTAAACAGACCAAAAGGATTTTTTTTCGAAGACCCAAGGTTCCAAGGTGATCCCCAAAGTAGCAGTGTGTCTAAGTAATGCACATTGAAACCCATGTTTGAATAATTCATGCATCTGTGAATGCTGGGAGGGCTAGGCAGAAGCATGGGAAGCTTTTCCCCTCTACAGATTTTTTTTTTTTTTTTTTTTGAGGTCAAGAGTTTTTGCTCAGCTTTGGTTACTGAGGTTTTGCTGGGCATTTTCCAAACATATAATTGTAGGAGGAAAGGCCAACATTTATTGGAAAGGCTGATGTTCTCAGGAAACTGCATTTTGCACGGTGAAAATGTTTCAAAACATGTATGGAGCCCAAAGCGTTTCTTTACTGGATATTATAGGAGTACCAGAAATAAACAAGAGGAGGAAAAAAAAAACAAGGTTGGTCTCCCTAGAATATGTTTCTCCAGTGACTTTATTTCTGTCCTCTCCACCCTCTGCAGATGCTCCGTATTTGTATCCGCTACACTCCAGAACAAGACACGATGACCTTCTCAGATGGGCTGACTTTGAACCGTACCCAGATGCATAATGCTGGCTTTGGGCCCCTCACTGACTTGGTTTTTGCCTTTGCTGGGCAATTGCTTCCCCTTGAAATGGATGACACCGAGACAGGCCTGCTCAGCGCGATCTGCCTCATCTGTGGAGGTAATACCTTGAGTGCAGCTCCTGAATCCCTGCATCTTTTCCCTATCAGCTTGGATTGAATGGAAACGTCACTTTGGAGAAGAATGCTCTTAACTTCCCCTGGGGAACTTCAGAAGAGGGGCAGAGGCCTCAGCTTCTTTTCTTCATAGGCAGGGGAACACAACTCAAGTGCAAGAGACTTAAAACAAGGTGGAGAGAAGGATGTCCCATTCTCGCAATCAGGGAAACCAGGAATCTTGTCTATTTGCATGCATACACATAGACACACACCTTAACTTTTAAGGGCATTTGCTGAGGAGACAAGTCTGCTTTTCGATTAATCTCTCATAAGTATCGGCCAGTCACAGTATCAAATTCCAAAGAGGAGAAAATTAAATCACATGGTGCAAAATATATCCTAGAGTATTTATTTTATTTAGAAAATTTGTTTTGCCGCCTACTTGCACATGGCGACTCAAGGTGGCTTACATAAATAAGAAAAACACCCTATAAAAATAAAAATAACAAGAGAAAAATAATAAAATAATATAATAACCCCCCACCCCAGAGACAACACACATAAATTAGCCATTTGATGGGCTCTATCCTGCTCTGGGTTCCCCAGGCCCGCTGGCAGAACCAGGTCTTCTGTGCCTTCCGAAAGAGTGTTAGCGTGGGGCCCAGTCTAATCTCTGATATCATCATAGAACTGTGGGAATGAAGTAGGAAAAATGTTGGCGTAGACCACTGTAAAGTCTAAAAACTAGTAGCAATTAAAATGAAATAATTTCTAAATTAAAAGGAGGAGGAGGGAAAGTCGTGTGCCCTAGACAAACCAATCCGTATATATGATTACATAAACAGAGTTGTGTCCTTTCATATTTTTTCTATCAGGTTTCATTTATTTTGATGACAGAGAATTTGCTTTAGAAATTATTTTGTGGGCGAAGGTAGTTGGTCATGAACAGATAAGTTTTGAAAGATGCAGTGAAGAAGTGGAGAGTGGGCATGGATGTGAATGTGCTGTGCTTTCTAAACAGTCACTTCTACCTTCGCTTCAATGCCCATCAATCCAGTCTCTGGGGAAGACATTACTAAGAAGTCCTTTCACAAGATTTGCGAGACCGCCTACTACCTCATAGTTCCCTACGTCTGGTTAGATCCCACAGGCTGGGCCTCTTTCAGGCCCCGTCGGCCAAGCAGTGCCATTTGGCGGGGCCGCGGAGGAGGGCCTTCTCTGTGATGGCGCCCACGCTTTGGAATCAGCTCCCCCCGGAGATTAGGACCGCTCCCACCCTGTTGGTCTTCCGTAAGCTACTTAAGACCTGGCTTTTCCGGCAGGCCTGGGGTTTATAAAACCTTACACCTGGATGATTGTTTTTGTATTGTTTTGTTATGTTTTATGTGTTTTTTATTGTTAGCCGCCCAGAGTCCTTCGGGAGTGGGGCGGCTTATAAATTTTAAAAATAAAATAAATAAATAAAAATAAAGATGTTTTCAGGAGCAATGCTACAATTCATCTGCAATCTGCCTTTGAAAATGTGTGGGAGAATTTCTCTGTCCCCTGGAGAAATCATCCACCCAGTTTCTCTCCTCATGGACTAGATGGAGCATAAAATCCAGCTTTCTTTCTTTCTTTCTTTCTTTCTTTCTTTCTTTCTTTCTTTCTTTCTTTCTTTCTTTCTTTCTTTCTTTCTTTCTTTCTTTCTTTCTTTCTTTCTTTCTTTCCTCCCTCCCTCCCTCCCTCCCTCCCTCCCTCCCTCCCTCCTTTCTTTCTTTCTTTCTTTCTTTCTTTCTTTCTTTCTTTCTTTCTTTCTTTCTTTCTTTCTCTCTCTCTCTCTCTCTCTCTCTGACATGGTACTAGGATCCCATTCCCTCTTATGAAAGTGAAGTGCCTTCGTCTGGAGCTTGGTCAAGCAGAAACCCCATCTAAGAGGCTTCCTATTACCTAATTGTTTTAGGGGTTTGTTTATGGTTTTTTTTTTCCTTGCCCTGCAATCCACAAGGATTAAAGGATGCTCATCTGGAGATGAAAACTGGCGTTCTGTGTATTCTGTGAAACAGTCAAGGCCAGCCTAGCATGTTCACAGCAGCAGAACAAACACATCATAGTCTTTCTTTTCCCCACAGATCGAATGGACCTAGAAGAGCCAGAAAAGGTAGATAAGTTACAGGAACCGTTGCTGGAAGCATTGAAGATTTATGCGCGCCGACGTCGGCCCAACAAGCCTTACATGTTTCCCCGCATGCTAATGAAAATTACTGACCTGCGGGGGATCAGTACCAAAGGTAAAACAGAACATTCTCATTTGGGAGCGTAAGATCATTGGAGCTGGGTATATATATTTGAAATTTTGGCCATGGGGCACTCCTGAGATGCCTGAAGCAGTTTCTAAATACTGTATCTCACTCTAGGAACCAGAGACTTATGGTAGAAGAGAGATGATTGGGTACTATTTTTAATGGCTGTCACTATTTTGCTTGCTGCAGTGTGGAGCAAGCCTAGTGATCTGGTTGACTCTGCCTCTTGCTCATGGCATATCCTGTAATTGGTGGTCTATGGAAGGACTCTTCCAAAAGCTCTGGGAAAAGGAGGAGTTGTCCCCTGAAAGCACTTCCTTGAGAGCTTTGATAAAACCCCTTCACTTAACGTTTTTGGTTCCTTCCACAGAGGTTATGAAGAGTCCTGGATATATGTGCAGACAGCCAATGTGTAAACTGAAGTGCAAGATACATTGGTAGCTGCTCTGAGTTTGCAATACAGGTAGTCCTCGACTTACGATCAAAATTGAGCCCAAAATTTTTGTTGCTAAGTGAGACATTTGTTAAGTGAATTTTGCCCCATTTAACGGCCTTCCTTGCCACAGTTGTTAAGTGGATCACTGTAGTTGTCAGATTAATAACCTGTTTGTTAAGTGACTCTGGCTTCCCCATTGATTTTGCTTGTCAGAAGTTCACAAAAGGTGATCACGCATGACCCCGGGACACTGCAGCTGTCATAAATATAAGCAAGTTGCCAGGCATCTGAATTTTGATCACGTGAGCCATGATGATGCTGTTGCAGTCATAAATATGAAAAATGGTCATAAGTCACTTTTTTTCAGTGCCATTGTAACTTTGAATGGTCACTAGATGAACTATTGTAAGTTGAGGACTACCTGTAGTATCAATGAGAAGCTTGTGGCCACTGTTCTTGGTGAAGAATAATGCAGCCTCTCTTATTACCTGATGGGCTTCAGGGGAAATTCCGACCTGCCAATGCTACCCACTTCCCTCTTCTCCTCTTCAACAGGTGCTGAACGGGCCATCACCTTGAAGATGGAGATCCCTGGTCCCATGCCACCACTCATCCGAGAGATGCTGGAAAATCCTGAAATGTTTGAAGATGAGCTGTCACAACCTCCAACTTCAGCAGAAGCCCCGAGCACTGAGGAGAGCCCAGCTGACACCAAAAGCCCAGAGGAGGCCCCCTAGCACCTCAAAAGAAAGCCTGGATCTAGGCTGAGAAAGGCTGGGAGAAGGTGGTTTTCTGCGTCTCATCTCTGCCTTCCCATGGCCCATTTCCTCCTGGACACAGTTTTAGGCTTGCCTTTCCTGCTCTTGGTTCATCTGCCAGAGTCAGGCATCAGGACAGCACTCAAGATGAGCTAGGAGGCAACCGCAACCTGTTCCTCTTTTCCTCTCTGTGTTTGGTGATGTGGGCTGGATGCCTCTTGCCTTAATCTTTTTCTTTGGGGCCTTGGATGTCTATTCAGAAGCCTTTCTCCCAACCCCAGAGCTTTGCCAAAGCCCCCAGGTTGCCTGTCCAGATGAGTCAAGCAGCTTCAAGCCAAATGTTTCAGAACCTGGGAAGCCCCAAAGGGGCTACAACTTTGAGATCCTCCTTTTCGAAATGGGATGAGCTCCAGATGTGCAATTCCCCCCCCCCCACAAACTGGCCTCTGAGAAAAGAGGCATCCCAAGAGCCGACAGAGACACTAATGAGTGGTTTCTTGGTTCCTCCTTTAACCCAGTCTAAAGTTCTTCTGCCTTGCAAGCCAAGAACCCAGGCACCTGGGATGCTATTTATTCAAGAATCTGAAGACCAACAGAGGAACATACAGCTTTTCGTGTCCCCATTGCACACAAGAGACCTTGGACCAATAATGTTGGGGAATGGAGAGATAAAGGCAGGACTTCTACGTAGGCATCCCTATATGTGTCGCCTTAGGGTGTGCCTGTATTAATATCCATCTCTGATGGATTCCGGCAAGCTATGCCAATTCTTGTTGGGGGGAGGGGCTCCTTTTGGTTAGCTTTATAAAGTGCTAATGTGTTATTATCGCAGGGCAGAGAGTGGATCCCATAATGGGATTTAGGGAGGGGCAGTGTTCCTTCCCTCTGTCTCCCCATCCTAAGGCAGAGGTATAGCAGGGTTGGGGTGGGTTGGGGGTTGTATCTGTTGCTTGGGATGCTTATGACCCCGGTGCTAAGAATTCTGGGAAACAGACCCCAAAGGACACTAGATACCAAAGATATCATGAAGATAAGGGGCGGTGTGGGGATGCAGAGTTACAGACTTGAACCTGTTTGCTGTCTCTCAGGGCCCCCTTCTGCCCTTGTCAAGGAGAAGTGAGTCACCCTCTAGGATGATAAAAGCAAGCCGGGTGGGTGGTCACGGCTTGCCTTAACTTGCCTTTACTTCTCTTTCTGCAGCACTTTGATGGAGCAGGAGGACCACTTCAGCTCCAGGAAGCTTGATTTGCCTCCCCCAGGCTGAGAGAAGGAGCCATTTTTGCTCCTCTCTCACAACTCCAGGGGCAAAACACAAGCCCAGCAAAAGCTCTCTTCTCTTATCGCTAGGGGGCAAAAGTCTCCTCTGCAAAGCCTCTCCTGCCCCAGCAATAGGAATTAGTATAAAAACCCAAACACTACAAAGCTGGGGGGTGGGGGTGGGGTGGGGCAGGAAGGAAGGAAGGAGTTGTTACATCAAGTTATTGCCCTCTGCTTAGTGCTTTGCCATTACCAGCTACTCTTCTGTCCTGACCTCCCTTTCTTCTCTTCCTCTGGAAAGCCTTCATGGGGAGAAAAGAAGAGGGGGTCACTTTCTCTCTGGGAGAGGCTGCAGGGTAGAATAAGTTAGCAATCTCTGCAGCTCAAGATGCTGCTTTCTTTCCCTTGCCGGCCATGAACAGGGCAATCCTTGAGGAGATTTTATTTATTGACTTGTGTTTACACCAGGGATTGGGTAGTAAAGGGAGTTAGAGCTTGGCCCTTCCCCCTGCAGAGCAAGTGTTGACAGATTGCAGCGCACCAAGGAACAGAGCCTCCTGCTGAATGGTCTTGGTTCCCCCCCCTAAAATAAGCTGTCAAAATAAATACCCCTGGGCCTTAAAATGGAGTCTGTTTGTGGTGGGGTGGGATAGAAAAGGGAGAGAAAAAAAAGGGTGAGGCCCTTCTTTGATGTTTACATAACCAGCTTTCCATGGTATTTTACAGGACTCTCCCCATCCCCTGTACTCCCAGCTGTGCCGCAGATTGGGGGGGGGGACTTTTCTATTTTTACAAAATAAAGTGATGGAAAGTCAAAGGCCTCCTTTAAATTGTTTTCTTTCTCATTAGGTGCATGCATTTCTATCTGCAACTTTGATGAAATAAGTCCCTCACTTGTGCGTTTGCTTGCCAGGCGTTTTCAGAGGCAGATTCTGATTCTGCCCCCCCCCCCCGCTCCATTTTAGTAGCTGTTGGGTCACATACAGATAATCCTCAACTTAACAATCTTTCATTTAGCAACTATTGAAAGTTACAATGACACTGAAATAGTGACTTACTGTACAACTAGCACAACATCTAATCAAAATTTGGGTGCTTGGCAACCAAAATGTATTTATAGTGGTCACATGATCACCCTTTGTGACCGTTGCTTTGTCAAGTGAGCTCAAAAAAGGCCATAAAACCTGGCACAACTCACTTAACAACCCCTCTTAGCAACAGAAATTCTGGTCCCAATTATGGCCACAAGTTGAGGACTAGCTGCACCTTTAGCTTTTTTTTAAAAAAATCTGAGTTTGATTGTGTGTGGGAGATTGGCTATGACTGGACAGACAGGAAAATGCAAAAAAAAATCCTGGCTGGATAAGGTGAACTACACACAAACACACACACACACACACACACACACACACACACACACACATTTTAATGAGGTGACCTCATTAGAAGATCTTTGGGTTTTGACTCATTCAGACTTTCTTGCCCATGTTGGGGACTTTGTGCTACCTTGATTGCTGCTTACATATATCAAGCTACAACGCAAGCTGAGTTTTAAGCAGGAGTATGGTTGAGCATCAAAATCCAGGCAGGGACTGACCAGAAGTGGCTTTTGGCCCTACTCATTGTTTATTGCTGCAAAAGCTACTTAACTTCCTTCTTTAGCAGCAGATCTTTCTTTTTCTCACTACACAATTCTGGTTAGCTTTCCCTCTGAAAAAGGCATGGTGGCTTTGGACACTGGCACATTCTCAAAAGAGGCAGGATATGGCAAAACTAACCAGCCGGGAGCTCTGTTACACCTAGGAAGGAATTTGATGTGGCCAACCAGTGCCTGGAAGGCCATTTTGGATGCTGGTAAGGTACGGTCTATGCGGATCTGCCTGGGCTTTGGTAGATTGGGAGGATTGAGGGGTCCTTTGGATTTTCTGGCAGAGGCAAGATATCAATAACTCATACATTTTGGATGGGGTGGGCTTAGCTGAGCTTGGTTTTGGGAAGGGTGGGGATGGGGCTGTTACTGCCTGGCAGCAGGCATGCCAATTGAACAGTTTCTGCACTGCTGCTTCTGGGTGCAGAAGTGTGCTTTAAATATGGTTATTTATTGTAGGATCACAAAGAATATGTAACATTGATGGGATTCAAATATGTGAACAACCGGTTCTCTGTATGGATGCCACTTCCGGTAGTCCATTCTGGGCCTGGGCAACAAAAAATTAGCTACCGGTTCTGTCGAAGTGGTGCGAACTGGCTGAATCCCACCACTGATATGTAAGCACACATCTTCACCTATCTTGGTTAAAGAATTGGGGAGAGTCCAGACATACCCATTTTGGCCACCAAGCTTACTGAATAAACTGGGGCACAATCCACCTCACAGGATTGTCATGAGAACAAAATACAGGTAGTCCTCGATTTAAGCCCTGGTTCCAAAATTAGGACAATGAGGACCCACCCCCGGTCATGTAACCATATATCTAAGGTGACCAACTTTTTTACAATGAGAAGGAGGACACAAATACATTGAAGAAAAAAAATGTGTGTGTGCTGTGTCGTGTTTCGGTAAGAAGTAAACAAAGCCACTTGCGTGCGGCACACTCTTGCGTGTGGCGCACTCTCTCAAAACAATCCTATGCGGAGCGCATGCGTCTCATAATTGCGTCTCGCCGCACTGTACCGAGCCTTGACGAATTGTTATGTCAAATACAAATACGTCACATCACATGCAACGGATCGGCTCGGCATCGATCAAATACGGAGATTTACAGATTAGTCTTCAAATATTGAAAAGGAGGACATGTAGGAGGACACTTTTTGAGAGAGGACAGAACTTACAAAAGAAGGACTGTCCTCCCTAAAGGAGGATGATTGGTCACTTTATAACATATCAGGCACTAGGCAGCCAGCCCATATTTACAGCTGTTGGCTGTATCCTGCAGTCACATGACTGCACATCATCATGCTTTTGCTGAAAACAGGCACTTCTGGGTTTTGGCAAAGTCTATAATGATCCAGAGGCTCACTTTATGACCCTGGTGTTAGTTTTATGCCACAAGAAAGGTAAAATCGTGTTGGTCAAATGTAAGGTGACCAACTTTTTTACAATGAAAAGGAGGACACAAATAAATTGAAGAAAAAAATGTAAATAAAAAAACATTTTATTCATTGAAACAATAATACAGACAACTTGCATGTGCAAAGTTTGCCAGCCAGGTGTTTTGGTGCACTCAGCAGCAATTCCTATTGGCTTTCGAAAGCCAATAGTGGGAGTAGCACAGCTCATGCAAAAGTTGAAAAAAAAAAAACCATCAAAAAAAGGTGCCGGATTGCCATTCTGAGCATTCTATGAGGGAAAAAAAAGCCTGCAGATTAGTCTTCAAATATTGAAAAGGAGGACATGGAGGATACTTTTTGAGGGAGGACAGAACTTACAAAAGGAGGACTGTCCTCCCTAAAGGAGGATGGTTGGTCACCTTATCAAATAGATAACCTGTTCTGACTTAGGACCATATTGATTAGCTTTAAACTTGGGGGGAAGGGGTTGAAACACCCATGCTGCTTTATATTCTGTGGAGAAGCAGGAGATGAATACGTGCATTCTCACAGAGAAAAGGCCAGCTTGTTTCTTCTGTTTGTAACCACTTGCACAAAAGTGGAATTGTAGCAGAAAGATCTCTGCTCTTAACACTCCTGCTTCTGTGACTCTGAACAAAATTTAAGATGCCAATTCTCCTTAGCATAAGAACAACTTCTACCTCTGAGAGAAGCTCTCAGTAGCTCTTCCGAGCCCTTCTCACCTCATTGACCTTTTAAGTAAATACCTCAGTGGCTTTATATATACATTTTAGTAATAATTTGGTGCTGATTACTTGGCAGGGATGTCTGTCCTGCTATATAGCAGCTTTCTCCAACATTGT